GAGTCTTGACTCCCCAGAGAAGGCCCGTAACCTCATCGACAGGATGCGCAGTCTTTTGTCATCTGGTGGCTTTGAAATCCGCCAGTGGGCCAGCAATGTCCCTGCTGTAATAGAACACCTCCCAGTTGAAGCCAGAGCAGCCAGTACTGAACTGTGGCTTTCTGAGCATAGTTCAGACCCCCAAGAGCCAGCTTTAGGTCTGCGCTGGAATTGTCTCACTGACCAACTTGGATATAAACATCGCCAGGTGGCCTACACCGAACCCACACTACGAAACGTCTACAAAGTACTGGCCACACAATACGACCCACTTGGATATCTTATACCCTTCACCACTAAAGCGAAAATGATAATTCAAGATCTCTGGAAACTCAAGATTGGTTGGGATGACATCATCCACCCTGAAAGCCTGTTGGTACAATGGCAAGCCTGGGAGGCTGAACTGGCCAATTTGCACACCGTGGAAATACCCAGAGCGTACATCCCATCATATGCTGACACAGAAGACACCCAGAGAACCATCCATATTTTTTGTGATGCCTCCGAACGGGCATACGGGTCGGTTGCTTACCTCAACACTCAAGATCAACAGAAACGAACCCATGTTGCCTTTGTGATGGCAAGGTCCAGAGTGGCTCCTCGCAAGCAGACCTCGATTCCCCGCTTAGAGCTTTGTGCAGCTCTTTCAGGAGCACAGCTGGCGAAGTTGCTCAGTAAAGAGCTTTCGGTTCCTTCGGATGATATAATTCTGTGGACCGATTCAACAACAGTCCTAAATTGGATAAGATCAGACTCTTGCCGCTACAAAGTTTTTGTCGGGACACGCATCGCCGAAATTCAGGATCTGACTTTGATGTCAAATTGGAGATATGTCAATACTGCGGATAACCCAGCGGATGACCTAACTAGGGGCAAGACTTTGCTCGAGTTGAGCAAACCTCAGCGCTGGAGTCAAGGACCAAGGTTCCTTCACAAACATCCCAGCACCTGGCCATCTCTGCCTAAATTAACAGCTCCTGATGACAGTGATGAGCTAAAGAAGCAATCATTCTGTGGTAATTCATGTATTGCCAAGCCTCAACCTGACATCTCTTGTAGTAGGAGTTGGAATGAACTGTTGAAAGCAACTCACCAGTCCCTTCATGGGGCGGCTGCTATTATGACTGCCGCAGATGCCATATCAGCTGAACTACACCTATTAAGACAAGCTCAGAGTGACAGCTTCCCAGGAGAAATGGACGCACTGATCAAAGGTAAAGCCATATCCGTCCAGAGTCGTCTTGCTTCACTTTCCCCTGAGTATGATCAAACACTTGGTTTAATCCGAGTTGGGGGACAACTCCGGCGAGCTGACAGCCTAGATCCAGACACTATGCATCCGAAAATACTAGACCCTAAACATCAGATTACAATGCTCCTAATCAAAGAATATGACAACCAGCTTCTGCATCCAGGTCCAGAGAGGGTCTTGGGTGAGATCAGACGCAAGTACTGGATCCTACGGGGCAGAGAATCAATCAAGAAGCACCAGTACAACTGTGAGAAGTGTCAAAAATGGAGAGCAAGTCCTGTAATTCCGAAGATGGCAGACTTGCCCCCATCTCGACTTCGGCTATACAAACCACCTTTCTGGTCCACTGGTGTAGACTGCTTCGGACCGTTCACAATTAAACTGGGTAGACGCACTGAGAAACGCTGGGGCATTATATTCAAATGTATGACAACGCGTTGCATACATCTTGATCTCTTAGAGAGCAAGGACAGGGATGCTTTTCTGATGGCATTAAGACGATTTGTGTCACGTCGTGGTAAGCCATTTGAGATACTGGCAGATAGAGGTACTAACTTCCGAGGAGGAGCTACTGAACTCCAGAAGGCCTTTGCTTCGTTAGAGGTTCCACTTAAAGAACATCTAGCACGCCAGGAAATTGCTTTTCAGTTTAACCCTCCGAATGCGCCACACTTTGGAGGGACCTGGGAGCGAGAGATACGATCAGTTAAAACTGCTCTCCAGGTAGTCTTGGGCAATCGAACAGTAACTGAAGCAGTCTTGCGTACAGTGTTAGTGGAAGTTGAGGGAATTATCAACTCTAAGCCACTCGGATACGTCTCATCAGATGTTGCCGATCCGGACCCAGTCACACCAAATCTATTGCTAATGGGCCGTCGTGATGCATCACTCCCACAAGCAATCTACTCTTCTAGTGATCTGTTAGGGAGACGACAATGGCGACACAGCCAAATTCTAGCTGATCACTTTTGGGTTAACTTCATTAGGCATTATTTACCAAGCCTGCAGCCCCGGCAAAAATGGCAGAAGGACAATGCCAATTTAAGTGAAGGTCAGATCATCATGATAGTCGATCCTCAATTGCCCCGAGCCTTGTGGCCTATAGGCAGAGTGACTAGAACCTATGCAGGAGCGGATAATCGTGTACGCACAGCAGAAGTGCAAGTGAAAGGGCGAACTTATCTCCGACCTGTTGCCCGTTTAGTTAAGCTGCCATCATGGGAAGATGAGGAAGAGAATAGTAACGGACATTTAGACTTTCCTAACTAATTACAAATTTAGATACTAAATTTGGGGCGGCAATGTAGAAAAGTCTATCCCTTTAACTGCACTTTCATGTTTCAACACTAGAGGGCACATGTCTTTCACTTTACTGATAACTATACAACGTCCCCTTTAAGATCATGCGCTTTATACACCACACGCGCTGGGTCACGATGATCATGTAAACTTCAAAGCTGTGTGCGTTCGTGCAGAAAAGTGAGTTTATTTCTTATTTCATGTAGAAACGTGCACGATAATAATGTTGTTGATATTATTATGATGGTGTATTAATCTTGCGAGTTTGTATGTGCACCAGATAATGTTATTCGATAATCTATGTCAGAAAGCTAACGTGCTAGTTCGTCAGACAATGTTATAATGTGTTGTCAAATTGACATTTAAATGTTAATCTGTTGCCATTTACGGTTATCTGACATGCTACACTATTCTAATTGTGGAATTACTTGACTGTTTATCTTATGTTCAGTATGATAATATCTGTAGCAATTTAACAATGACTGTAATATTATTTTATGTCTAATTTGTACTATTATCCTTTGTTTCAGACCACACACACACACATATATCCATGTTATTTATGTGCCCAGCAGATTAAAGTTTTGAATGTAACTCTCCGAGCCCTTACTCTCTTACCGGAGTCACCAGTCTTCAAGCACTATCTGAACAATCCAGAGTTCCATCTCTACATTATTACATATGCATTCATCAGATATTTTACGGGGTTTTTTTACGGTTTTAATTTTAAAATGACTTATAGCAGAGGGCCCCATGGTGAAGCTCCGCCCCCACTGTTCTGAGAGTCTAGCTCCGCCCCTGCTTACAAGGAACATGGTGACCTAATAAGACCTGCTGAGGTAGGCTACACATGGTCTTAAATGTTTGCAAGTAGGGCTGCACGTGCACGATATATTGTTTTAGCATCGATATCGCAATGTGCGCATCCGCGATAGACACATCACAGGATGTGCGATGTCAAGTAAGACTTTATGTGCCAGAGAAACAAGCTCGCAGACATCTTTAGAATTTTGTCTTTGAACTTCCGTTTTTTGCTGTAGCTCTGTATATTTGGCATCGCTGTCAAAGAGTAATTAGCTGGTGAAGTGGATTTACTTATTGTAGAGTTAACGAAAGTTACCATGAGAATTGTAATGTTTGAAGCGGATATCATAACAATACCGGATGATTTTAAAATGAGCGGTTCATTCATAAATCCGTAAGATCTTACCTTCATGCTGTGGAAATACAAACCGGAAGACAGAACACAAGGAGCGCAGCGCTGAAAAGGGGCGGGGCTACATACGGCCTATGGGGATCATCAGTTGATCCGTACTGACCAGGCACCACGTTTCGAAACGCATGTGATTCTCGGATTGATTGCAAAGTTTAACCATCATAGAGCAAAAGTTCATCATTTGTATGTGCTTTAGGTTCTGTCAGTTTAAACATTTAAATGATTTTAAACCAATCTAGCACAAGAAGATGCGAAAGAGAACTTAATTATGAACCTGTCCTACCTGAACAACGAATTCCTTTCTCTTCCGTGTCCATTCGTGCTTGAAAGGACACATACATGCAAAATTATGTCAAAATGCCAGTTTCGGTGAGTATCCTCGTAAACACAGTCGCTTATGGCTTACGTGAATGTAAAAAATTGAGAAAGAAAACGGAATGCGTATCATTATATTGGACCCGTGCATTCAGTGTTAAAGTGACAGCAGCCTAATATTCTTGGTGCTGTCTGTGTCATTAATGTTAATCAAACAACAAAATACAGGAAATCCCTTTTGTAGCTTTAACAAAGATTAATTATATTTAATTTATACAGTGAAGAATGCAGTGTTATTTTACATTTGATTATTCAATTTTTGTACCTGAATACTGTTAGTCTTGCATAAAAGCAATGTTTATTTCATTTGTATCTTTGTTCTATTGTATTTATCTATGGTTGTAATTTGTTCATTATTTTCTACGGAGATTCACTCCTTTACAAAATACCCCCAATCATTCTACAACGATCAATTCTTTACAAATAAAGCAATTCATCTGGTGAAGTTGTTTTTGATATTGCAATATATATTTCAGAAAAACAAAATATTGCAATGTCATTTCCAATCTCGTGCAGTCCTAGTTGCAAGAGCAGCACAAAGAATTTCAATATATTTCCCAATTCCTTCCTGTTACGTAAGCACAGCATATAAAATGTTTAGATTGAGAAGACACTGTGCCTTTTTCTCTCCTTGCATTCTGCAGATATCTCAATCCTTTTGAGCCCTTCTTTCTCTATACTCTGATCTTCACAAACTGCATCTGTTAGATACAATACTCTGGATATTATTACTTAGATTTTTTTTTTTGCTATTTCAGTTTTCATATTTACTTGATTCATTCATTTGTCATTGTAATTTTATATTTTAAAATTTGATATTCCTTATTTAAATTTGACCTCTGACATCATTTGCTCGTCTGCCTGGACCACACTGCATCAAGAATGAACCTGCTTTATGTCCTTTTATTGGTCCTTTGGTCAGTTTTCAGTAAGTAGATCACATTTTATTTATCTACTGTAAAGATAGGAGTGCATAGAATTGTTGTTAAGTTTGAGATTTTTTATATATTTTATCTTAATGACTTTAATCTATACATTTTTCTGTCCGCATTCATTTGAAAAATATTTTAAAGTGCAAGAATAGAAGTCTTTTTTTTCTTTTTTACTTTTTACAATGCCATCTAAAACATGTGACCCTGAGTACCTTTCAATGACAGGTGCATCATCCAATGACTTTAATCTACATATTTTACTGCCAGCATTCTTTTTTTGGCACTATTTAAAATGAAGACGAACTTTGAAAAACCTGAACAGAAACCGTTACTGTAACTGTTATCTATCAGTAGTACATACATGCAACTTTATCAACTCAAAATAGATATTTTGATACAGTTGATGAGGACATACTGTACATTGAGTGAAAACATGATCATAGATGCACACAGATCCACAAATGCACAGGAGAATCCAGAAATAGCTTATGTGCAATAGATTCACACATGCACCGGAAGAGTGCACACACTTCTTATAATGCTTATAATTCACAAATACACAAAGGCCATGATGTATGTGTAATTTAATGAACAAATAAATGCTAAAACATTTGTATTGAGATTGTATTGAGACATCAGCCTTTGCATGAAAGACATGTTCCAATTCTTTCCATTATGAAGCAGCGTCTACTCCGGAAACCACCCGTGTTACATTTAATTAGTAGCCTAGACATTTTTCTCAACTTGATCTCATAATGGTATGTGCTGCCTATTACAGTGTCTGATATAATGTTTCATATATTCAGACAGTACCAGCTCCTTCCTTATCTACAACAAGGACCACAACAAATGTGTGTATGCCGCGAGTGCTACTGTAGTGCTGACTGCGCCGTGCGACGCATCTTTCACAGCTCAGCGTTTCCAATGGATTTCCTCTTCACGAATCATCAGCCTCGCTTTTAGTCTCTGTTTGGGGGCAGAGAAGATCGAAGACAGGTTCAAAGTTATCCTTCTGCCCTGCAATGAATCTAACCCCGGACAAACCTGGGAGTGTAAAGATGAGACCTTGCTTGTATTGAAGGGACATCCACTGCACTTGAACTATGGAGATTTTGTTGAGCCAAATGTGATGCTGTTTAATGAAGCAGGTGTTTGGAGTCGCTGGCTGATTTATGGGACCAACGAAAATTTGTGTTCTCGTGGATATCAAGGTATGACCACCAAACATCCACCTAACAGCCATTAAAACCTTTATAATAATGGCTGCCAAAATGTTAAATTAATATCCAATATGTATTAATTTCCCTGTTTCATTTCTCTATGTTCTGAAGAGATGGCTAGTAATCCTAATGGGAAACCATGCTATTTCCCTTTTAAGTTTAATGGAGATGTGTACGCCGAGTGCACTGTGGATGGCAGGGCTGATGGTCAGCTGTGGTGTTCCACAGAAAGTGATTTCGAAAAGGAAGAGTGGGGCCTCTGCCACCCAATAAGTAAGACAACACAACTATTCACTACAGAAACCTCTCTATTTATTACTTAATGAGCACCATAGACACTTTCTATAGAAGTGGTTCTAAACCAAACTCAACCTCAAGATGACATACAATGATTTCAAATAAGATAAAACAAGCATTCATAATATTTATTTTTAATAAAGTTAGCTGAATCAAAGTAGTGGATAATTTGCGGTGATGTAAGCCTGTTTTAAACAATGCCTTAATTGTTTTGACAGTATTGAATTTAGTTTAGAGAAATGTGTTGCATTTGGGGAAAAACTTTTTCTACATAGCAGGGATAGATAGGTATGATGGATTCAAATTAGTGACATAATTAAGGGCAAAGCACTGAAGGTGTGAAGCACCTATTGTTTCCATTAGTGTTATTTCCCCCCATCAGATCCTGTCAATGGAATGGCAAACACTCCCTGTGTGAGTTAAGTCATTAGAAAGTTTCTCTCTATGGAATTTACTTGCATAAAAAAACACAATTGCGATTTCGGATGCAGCCTGTCTGTCTGTTTTACGCGTTGTTGTTTTTTCACCAAACCATATTATACAGTAGATGCGCCGTCAGATTTGAGATTAACTGTGGTGCAAATGCATGCCGAACCGTCGGTGGAAAACAGTACGATTAGCTTCTTTTTTTTTTTTTTTACAGAGAATCGTTATATATATATACACTCACCTAAAGAATTATTAGGAACACCTGTTCAATTTCTCATTAATGCAATTATCTAATCAACCAATCACATGGCAGTTGCTTCAATGCATTTAGGGGTGTGGTCCTGGTCAAGACAATCTCCTGAACTCCAAACTGAATGTCAGAATGGGAAAGAAAGGTGATTTAAGCAATTTTGAGCGTGGCATGGTTGTTGGTGCCAGACGGGCCGGTCTGAGTATTTCACAATCTGCTCAGTTACTGGGATTTTCACGCACAACCATTTCTAGGGTTTACAAAGAATGGTGTGAAAAGGGAAAAACATCCAATATGCGGCAGTCCTGTGGGCGAAAATGCCTTGTTGATGCTAGAGGTCAGAGGAGAATGGGCCGACTGATTCAAGCTGATAGAAGAGCAACTTTGACTGAAATAACCACTCGTTACAACCGAGGTATGCAGCAAAGCATTTGTGAAGCCACAACACGCACAACCTTGAGGCGGATGGGCTACAACAGCAGAAGACCCCACCGGGTACCACTCATCTCCACTACAAATAGGAAAAAGAGGCTACAATTTGCAAGAGCTCACCAAAATTGGACAGTTGAAGACTGGAAAAATGTTGCCCAGGTCTGATGAGTCTCGATTTCTGTTGAGACATTCAGATGGTAGAGTCAGAATTTGGCGTAAACAGAATGAGAACATGGATCCATCATGCCTTGTTACCACTGTGCAGGCTGGTGGTGGTGGTGTAATGGTGTGGGGGATGTTTTCTTGGCACACTTTAGGCCCCTTAGTGCCAATTGGGCATCCTTTAAATGCCACGGCCTACCTGAGCATTGTTTCTGACCATGTCCATCCCTTTATGGCCACCATGTACCCATCCTCTGATGGCTACTTCCAGCAGGATAATGCACCATGTCACAAAGCTCGAATCATTTCAAATTGGTTTCTTGAACATGACAATGAGTTCACTGTACTAAAATGGCCCCCACAGTCACCAGATCTCAACCCAATAGAGCATCTTTGGGATGTGGTGGAACGGGAGATTCGCATCATGGATGTGCAGCCGACAAATCTGCGGCAACTGTGTGATGCCATCATGTCAATATGGACCAAACTCCCTGAGGAATGCTTCCAGCATTATTTGTGTGCATCCCACAAATCTCCATCAACTGCAAGATGCTATCCTATCAATATGGGCCAACATTTCTAAAGAATGCTTTCAGCACCTTATTGAATCAATGCCACGTAGAATTAAGGCAGTTCTGAAGGCGAAAGGGGGTCAAACACAGTATTAGTATGGTGTTCCTAATAATCCTTTAGGTGAGTGTACAAAGGAGGCCAAAGAGAACTAAATTCGGGACTCAAAATCTGTTTAATATTGACATCAGTAGCAGTGATGATACTTGCCTTTATTCATCATAGTACTTAGTAAAAAGATGCCATTAAACACATATTTAATATGAACAGTCTTTATGCTGTTTTTAACCTTAACTCATGTTGGTGTGTGTTATTTCAGATGCCCCAGAGCCCAACATCACAGTGTATGGGCAGATGCAGGACAGAGAGCATGTGATAGTGATGTGTTCATTTGGCAGGAGGTTCACTAAGAGCTCTTTCCAGCTGTCAGTGGAGGGTGAACACAACTACACACTGAAGGACCCACTGTGTTATTCAAATGAAAAGTGTGTGTTTGATGTGAAAGTGAGTTCACCTGTTTCCTTCACCTGTGTGCACGAGATTAATTCTGCGGTGAACCGTCGCAGTGAGACTTACACAGATCATCATGAGGAAGGAGTATCTTTATTCTACATCTGCTTTTCCTCCTCCATTGCTATTGGTCTCGTCATCATGACTGTGGCAGTGATCGTGACCACCATCAGGAGCAAATAAAGGAGTGTGTTTACCTGTTACTCACAGTCAGATCAAAATCTATAAATGAAAATAGTGAAAATGCATACTCAATGTGAGCCTCTCTGAGAGCATCTCTGAAATGCTTTGTTATGCAATTAATTTCCATTCGTTATTTCCCTACAAGAAGCTCAAAGACTAACATGCAGCCGTGGTTTTCTGAGCTGAAGATGCAAGTTTCTCTTCCTCAATCTTATTTCTGATGACAATAATGGCATTACATATGCCTACAGATCTCAATATAGTTCCCTGCATGTGTTTCTATTAGGGATGCACCGAATCCAGGATTCGGATTCGGATTCGGCCGAATATTGGGCTTTTTAACGGGGTTCGGTTTCTGCCGAACCTCAGAATTTTTTTCCACCGAACCGAACCCTAGGCTTGCACTACGCGCGCTACGTCGAAGTCACCGATCAGTGAATGACATCAAAGTACCGCGTGAACGAATAGAGAGCAGACGGCTCCTTATGCTTTTGAATTGCTCTCGCGGGACTTTGATGTCATAAACTCATCTGTCTATGCAGCGCCGGTTCAAGTCGAACAAGTAGTTATTGCAGAGGCCAGACAGACTCACGGAGGCGATTGGCATCTCACAACTCGCACTTTATTCCACAATCGAACTTGTGTAACTGTCTGTCACACGTTCTACCGTCCACAGCGTTACTTAACAAAATAAGGTAAAAATGAGCATCAAACAGAAATAACCCGCATACATGGGCATGTGTTCGAGGCGCACGACACATACGGCGCGCAGTTCTTAAAGGGGACACACCTTATTTCCACTCGCTACAGTAGGTGGACCGTTCGAATGCAGTAGGCTGTGAGAAAGTGAAAATGGAACTCGTGAGCAGAAAAAGTGTTGTTTGGCAGTACTTTCAGTGAAAGAAGGCAATTCAAGTCGAGCTACATGTTCAATTTGCAATGCCGATTTGTCTCATGGTGGCAAGGAGTCAAGGACTCTAAATAGGCTACACAACATCGCCGCTGTTAAAATGCATATAATGTTGCTTTTTTTTTTTTTTTTTTTTTTTTTTTTTTTTTTACAGTTATAAAAGTAAAAGTAGTGTTTATTATTTACAGTAATAAAATAAAATTAAAAATCCACTTTGTTTACTTCATTAATGTGTTTACTGTGTTAATGGACTGAGGATGAGAGTAGGATTCGGTATTCGGTTTCGGATTCGGCAGAATCTTAACCAGTGGATTCGGTATTCGGCCGAACCCCACAAATCTGGATTCGGTGCATCCCTAGTTTCTATGTTCAAATCTCACACCAGTTGGTGTGAGATATCATTTTGACATGCAATGCTATTATTGTGTTTCTGATGAGTTTGTGTTCAGGATTAGATTTGATCAGTCTTCAGCTTCAGTTTTATTTGAGAAAAATCCTAAAATAACTTGGCAGATCTTAACTTAAGACTTCAGATAGAACGTTTCTAGGACCACATGTCTGTGCTTCAATATAACAGACTCAAGCATTCTTACTGATAGCCTATGTAATTTGATTAATTTGATTAATTTGTTGAGATTTTCTATTATAATTTAAGTGATGCAATTTTAAAACTGTGTATTGCAGCAATTTTATTTTCACATTAGGATGAATTGCTTATGCTGTAACATTCCTTATTTGTATGTTTAGATAAAAATGTCTTCTAAATGAATTAATATAACAATAAATGCTTCACTTACTGCTGTAGCTTTCATTTCTGTCTACATCAGTGGGCAGAAGCTGTATGTTATATTACACAAATGTTTTTTACATGAAGATCATAACGATAAATTGCATGAATTAGAATATGAATTGCAGGTTAATTGATGATACATTAACTAATACACACATACAAAATACAATGTCGCAAAAAAATGGATGTGGTTTTTCAAGAACTGGGAAATGAATATGACAAATCGTAAATTTATATATAATTATCTGTATATTACAGTGTATCCAATTACAGTGAAATACGTGATTACTTAGAGTCATTTATTCATCCTTTTAGTGTCATAGCAATATCCGAAACTTGGTTTAAAGATGACAAAGGAATCAACTTTGAAATAAATGACTATGCCCTCAACTACATCAACAGACAAAACAAGACGGGAGGTGGCGTTGCACTGTATGTCCATAAAACAATACATTTTTCAATAGTAAATAGCCTGTCAATAGCACTTGATAATGTCCTGGAGTGTGTAACTATTGAACTAAAAAATGAAAAGCAAAAGAATATTATTATAAGCTGTGTCTATAGGTCACCTGGATCAAGTGTAGACTTATTCAATGAATGGATGGTGAAATTGTTTTCTGAAGATATAAATAAGCCCTTATTTGTATGTGGGGACTTCAATATTGACCTTCTGAACTCAAACAACCACAAACCTACCTGTGAATTTGTTGATAGGATGTATAGTATGTCCTTATTTCCAT